AGTCAAATGTGATTGATGAGAAAGTGAGGTAGATAGGCCAGACTATTATTATTCCATTGATCCCTGTGGGGATATTTAAGAAAACATGGAAGATGATTCTTCGACTAAGTAAAAGAAAAATAGTACATACTGTAAAGACTGAGAGTAAATGAGAAGTCATATGCAGATTTTTCCGGCCATCGGGGTTTTTAGACCTTCCCAAGCAAATCCTATCAGAGCCACGACCAGACAGATGATGTGGATGCTGACGACAGTGACCACTCGAAGAGCCAGGACTCCGTGGAATCCGATGACTCAGATGACGATGATCATGCAGATGAGCCGGACCATTCTGACGAGTCTCACCATTCTGACGAATCTGACGAAGTCACCACTGATGTCCCAGCAACCGTGCTGTTCACCTCAGCTCTGCCCACAGACTTCTATTCTGATGATGGCCGCGGTGATAGTCTGGGTTATGCAGTGAGGTCAAAACTGAGGAGGATCCATGAAATCAAGGTAAATTCCTTACCAGCTGTATTGGCCACTTCCGACTAGAGCACACATAGGCATTTAGTCTACTCTTTAAATTAAAGAAAGCAATTAAAGAAAGAAAGCAGCAATGGCTTTCTTAATAAACAAGGGAAATCATTGAGCTGTAAATTAAACTGCAGTCAGTGATAGTCAAAGGATCTCGATTTGACACAGCATTGCCATTTACTAAGAAGCCTGGGTGGTGATGCGGAATAAATGCCCGGCTGCTAAATGAGAGGGAGAATAGTGACACAGGCCTTTTGGGGGACAATGTGCAGCCTCAGGAACATGGTAGACTTCTCCATCCTATCGTCCCTGAGTCCGAATCAACTGCATGGTCCTGAGTAGATTAGTTTTGTCTCTGCCATCTACTCGTCACGTGACTTGTAACTTTCACTTCCCTTTTATGTAAAACACAGAGTGTGGCCCTACTTCATAGGCCCCAGATTCTTCTGGCACCACAGGTACTCTTAAACTTTTCCAGTACTTAAAAAAAGGGGGAGGAAGATACATATCTACAAAGTCACCCATTTGGGCTGGTTCAATAGATCCATCCTTCCTCTCCCACCTTTGGTAAACATTGACTAATATACCTTGTTGGCGTCTTTTCACTGCAAGCCATCCAACAATCAGGCTGAACACAAGCCCTGAGTTGGATTGGAAAGGCGAACTTTTGAATGCAAGAGTTGCACATGTACAATGCA